TGTAATCTGCTATGGTCTGAAGCTGTCCACCAGGTGTACTGACTCTGGGGCCTCCAGGGAAGTGCAAAGTTAGCCATTGCCTGGGGCCATTAGGAGCTACAGAGCCATCTGCAGATGGCTGCACTTGCATTGGGCTTGGAAGTAACCAGGGGAGGCCAAGCTATGAAGCAGGCAGGCTGCTGCTAGTGCCGGTTCTTGGGCATCTTATTAGTAAGTATGGGGCATGCTGATGCCAGCTGATGCTTGTTTAAGAGATTTTAGCAAAATCTGAAGCCTGAGCAAGGACAGGCCATTCATACAGAAAAGCTCCTGCAAACAGCTTGGGTAGGGCTGCAAATTGGAACAGACTGAGTCTCAGGGAATCAAGTGGGTGAAACTAAACTCAGATATGGCTGCCAGTCATCTCTGGGATGGGGGAGGTCCCAGCACAGGAACAATGACTCTTGTGAGCCCTCTGGTCTGGGAGAAAGCCACCCAACTGGAGTTCCTGCCCCAATGCCAGACAATCTAGTTCCTCCCTGTATGTCTCTGGATTTCCCCCAATGCTGCTGCCACAGTACTAGAGCCCAGAGGGAGCAATTCCAAGTAAGTTTGTGCACCGGCCCTTTAAGAGGAACTGCCTGGGTCTCCAGCAGCCTCCTTGTCACTCAGTCACAATCCCAGTTGGTTTTTACAACCTGAAGTTACGGGGCTTCTCTTCCTAGCTCTGGAACCCTGGGCTGGGGATCTGGTGTGGGAATGGGACCCCTTGCTCCTCATGGGAGGCCTCCACAGCAGAGATATCCCTCCCAATAAAAATAAAAATTAAAAAATTAAAAAACACCATACATGGGTGTTGGATCAGCCATTCCGAGCCTCTGCCCCTCCTACCAGTCTCAATGTACTTTCTTTTTTTACTTCTCTAGTTGTAGGACTTCCATTCAGCCAGATTACAGGCAGATCTGAATGATGGTTGTTCTGTATTTTAGTTATAACTTTGATGTGGTTGTGGGAGGCAGTGAGTACCAGTGTTACCTACATTGCCATCTTGGTTCCCCTTATGGCAGGAGCTTACTAACTGCCAGCTGGGGGTTCCCATCGAGACCAGGCAGAAGTCCTGGCATGAAGCTTTGCAAAAAGCTCCATGGGACCCTGGCATCCTAGCCCCAGTAGACAGGCCTCTCTTGGCATGGTGGCAGCTCCACTTCCATGCAGCCCTCTCCTGGGCATTCACATTCTTCCACCAGAGCAGACTGCCTACTCTATGGGCCTGAGGTAAGTGGTCTTTTAAATCTGGTTTATGACTTCAAAGGTACTCTTTTCCCCTTTGAAACTCCACCTCCAGCACCAGTTCCACCATCCAGAAACTGATAGGAATACTGAGGGGAGGGGGTAACTTAAAACAAACCACTTCCTTGTTTTCTAAGTTGGTAGCTTCTAGGACCCTTGACACAAATACCAAAAAAGCCCCACAACAACCTAGAATTTGATTTGCAAGGCTGGAGAACTTCCTAAAGTAGTTGTTTTGTGTTTCATCCAGATGATCATGTTTGCCTTTACATTCCTATCTTCCCCATTTTGACCGATGCAGGCAGGAAGAAGAGAGGGAAGGACTGAGTCAGGAGTAGGGGGCTGCGGGGCCTGAGGGATGGTTCTTGAGGAGACATCCCATGGAGAGGGTCCAAAACAGTGCCCTGTAAAGCATCACCCTCTCCCATGCACATCATTATTGTCTTGTCACCTGGGCTACCTTCAAGGGAGGAGAATCACAGAAAGATCATGATCCTTCTCTCAGTCCCTCACCCTCAATGTCTAACAGGTATGAGATGCAAAGGTGGATGGGCCCTATTTGGGGAATGGAGCAGTGAGAAGCTGGGAATCCAGGCAGAGCAGAGTAATGGTTGGAGCTAGAACTCCAGAGTCTGACTCCATCAGTTGTGACCCAGGGCAAGTTACTTAACCTCTCCATGCCTCAGTTTTCCCATCTAAAGAACAGGGATAACCTAGTTTCTGATTACCGTGATTTCCAAATGAGCTAATTAATGCACATAAAATTCTCTGTGAGTGCATCTGACTTACAGTGAGCTCTGTATGTCATGGTCACCATTCTCAATTAGCTGTCCTTTTCAGACCTGTCAGTGGCTTTGGGCAAGAATACATGTAGTAGCCTCTAGAGGTGGCCAATCAGGTGTGGCAACCAAGGAGCTTCTAATCAGATCCTGTGTGTGGGAGGCCCAATGGGGTGGGCAGCTGGCCTCAGGGGGCATTCCAGGCCTGTGCTGCCCTCCACAGCCCCAGCCTGGCAAATGGGCACCTGAGGTGCAATCACAGGAAGCGCTTCCCAAGGCCACAAATCTAGAGTGAGGGTTCTCATGAGCTGAAAGTCCAGAGCCAGAATCCTGAGTACCACCACCAGGACACACATAGTCCTTGATTAGGATGGCTACTTGGCCATGAACACTGACAGTTACAGCTTCTCGTCCCAGTCCCCAATCCCTCTACCATGCACTAAACAAAAAGATAACATCATTCACTACCTTCAAGACTCCTGCCCTGGAAGTCTCCATCATCAAATATCCTTCTTCCCCTGTATGCCCTCATCCTTCCTGAGTCCAGGTGCCTGGGGCTCCTGAACAAGCCATTCTCATTAACAAATAAGTGGAACTTCCAGATCCTCCAATTAGTCTCCCAGGCTGGCTAAGGCTGTGTGCTGCCCTGGGCAAGGCCTCGGAGCAGGGTATGCAATGCCCTTTCCCATCTGGAGACACCCCTTTTCCATCTAGACAACTCTCCCACAGAATTCTTTGCACTGCCCTGAGTGCACTTTTCCTTCTTCTGCAGCTGGCAAGCTACTATTCATCCTTCAGAGTCCATCTCAGATAGCCTAACCTCCTCAAATGAAACTAACAGCAACCTGGGAGGGGAGTTGGGAGACTGAGTGAAAAAAAAGTGAAGTGATTGAGAAGTACAGATTGGTAACCATTCAGATGTAAAGTACAGCATAGGAAATATCTATAATAATAAAAGCATAATATGCTAATTAGATCAGATGTCCTCCTGGATGACCTTCTGGATGAAGGGTCCCGGGTGCCAGAGGGAAGCTGGTGCCGGCAGCTGGGGGAAGGAAGGCCTACTCTTGCATGAATTTCGTGCATCGGGCCTCTAGTAGTCAATAAATCTACATATATAAAAGCCTACTATGCAAAGTGTCCCCTCAGGAGTTCGATCGACCGGGAGTTCGATTGCTCGCTATGATGAGCACTGACCACCAGGGGGCAGTGCGGAACGAAGGAAGGCCCCAGCTGGCAGCTGCCAGGGACCCTACCCGTGCACAAATGTTGTGCACTGGGCCTCTAGTATTGTAATAACTATGTATGGTACCAGATGGAAATATAAGGGGAACACTCTGTTAAGTATGTGATTGTCTAACCATTATGCTGGATACCTGAAGCTAATACAAAATAATACTGACATTAAACTGTAATTGAAAAAAAAAACACAAAACTAACAACAACTCACCCCATGTTCCCACAGTTCTTTACACCAACACCCCCAAGGCCTGCATCCCAACAATATATTAGCCACCAGTCTGTGTCTCCATTCCCATGAGACAGCACCCTGTCCCTCATGAACCTGTGCCCAGCACAGCACAGGCATCCAGAGTGCTCAAGGGAGCCTGTGAGATGTTGCCTTTAAGTGCCCCTCCTGTGGTGCTGCCCTACACCTCTCCTTGCGTTCCTCCCACCCCAGGAGGGACAAAACAGCTCACACTCTGGGTAGCAGATGTCCTTTCCCAAATGATGCCACACTAGAGGTCTGTCCACCTCATCTTTAAAACCACAGGACTCCCCTCCCTCTTCCCGCCTAGCTCTGAGACCTCTCTTCCAGAACAGTTACTCCCAGTGGAGTCCCAGGCCCCAAGATAGCATAGCCTCAGGCCCAGGAGTTACCTCCCCAAGTCAGAGCCTGCCATAAGCTTCAGATGGGTGGAGATGGAATGTGGAAAAACCACTCCTTCTGCAGCTCCTTTCTAGAAAAAGGCCAGCTGAGATGCCACTGAGTGAGGCTTGAGTTAGCAGATATGGCTTGGCAGGAAAGTCAGGCAGGATGGGCAGGCAAGCCTGGTGGTGGAATGAGGCAGTTGCCTGAAAAAGTGGGGGCACTCTATGCGGGGTCCCCATCCTACTCCTCAACCCCTTCCAGGCCCATCAGATGAAGGCTAATCCAATCCCAGAAGGCCCAGGCCCAAACCCAAAGCCAACTCTACAGAGGTCTTAACTGTGCTCCTCAAGCTGGTCCCTCTCTGTCCTACCACTAGCCCAGCACTGAGTGCACATTACCGCTGGTGGGTGAATGAATAAATAAACCCCTGCCACCGCAGCCTCTTGGTTACTGAGGATTTCAGAGCTCTCCCAGGCTCCTGAGTCACTCAAACTGTTTTCTACCACCAGCCAGTATTTGCACATAATTTCACCCTGGCCTCACTGAGGCAGGTGTTGGGGAAAGTGCTATCGACCAGAGTCCAAGGTCTGCGTCTCTATTTGGGTTGGGATCTGGGGCCGACCCATCCATTCTTGTTGCCTTTTTTTTCTCTGGGGTGGACCCCCGCGGCCTCCAGTCTAACCCACACGGGGGGGGGGGGGGGGGGGGGGTCGGGAAGTCCTCACCCGATCTCCACTCTGCTCCCCCTGCATTGTGCGGGCTGAGGCCCCACAGATGACTGCCAAACCCGAGGTTCACGTGGGGCGGAAAGGACAAAACCTCTTCCAACCCGCAGAAGGCCAGGGCCTCTCGGCAAAGGGAGTGAACCATGGAGCCGCGCGGTCCCCACTCTCCCCCCTCGGCTCCGTGCGCACCGGGCGGCTGCGAGCCGGAAGCCTCCCGGCGACGTCTGGGCCACGGGACCGAGTGGGGGCAGACGAGAAAGGGCCGCCCCGACGCCGGTGCGGAAGGACCGTGGTGCGCCCGGGGCCCCTCGTCTTCCGTTCCCACCCCAGGGCGCTGGCGGTCGGGGGCCACACCTGGAGGGCTGGGCTGGCGGCGCACACCTCGTCCCCAAGCAGGAGTCCCGTGAGCCCGGAGCTCCTCGCAGATCCCTAGGAGGGCACAGGAGCCGAGAGACGGGCCCTGGCGGCTAATCACCCCCACCAGCCGAGGGAGGCCAAGAGAGGCAGCTGGCGGGCGCGGGAACCCGAAGAGGAGGACTTCCTCTCTCTGCGGCGGGCGGCCGCTGCGCCCCGCTGCGTCCCTCCGCCCCCCGGCCGGCCCCGCCTCCCGCACGCCGGTGCATCGCGCACCCGGCCCCGCCGCCTGCGCCGCGCGGGTCCCGAAGCTGGGGCGCCTGGAGCCCTGACAGGCCTGGCGGTATCAGCCGATATTCAGAGGAGGCGGTGCTTGTCCAGGGAGCCCTCTGGGAAGGTTGGCCACTTACTCCGGCGACGCGGGGATACTTCGCAGTGTTTCTCGCGTGGAACTGCTTTCAGAAGCTCAGGGATGCCTACTCCTCCGGACGCCAAGATGGAATGAAAGCCCCTCACCAGGCCCCGTGCTCAGGTGCCCCCAGGATGACCTAAGCCAGAATCACTTGTGGCGCCAAGAAACAGAAACAGAAACAGGAACGTGAGTTTCTAGAAAGGGTGAGGAAGCAAATAAGACCAAGGAAGTTGCTCTACCTGAACATAAGAATAGAAACTGAACTTAAAAAAAAAAAAAAGACTGAAAGGACATATAACCAAAAATCATCACATAGTTACATTAAAATAATAGAAATCACAATGATTTTCTAATTTCTACTTTTTTTGTATTTTCCAATTGTGAGAGTGAACCAGCGATCTTTTCTGTCAAAGAAAGGAGTTCCCCCGCTGTCGTGGGTTCCGCCATTTTGATTTGACCTTCAGATTCTCAGGGGGTCGCCATCTTAGGCTCCGCCTCACCCGCCCCTTCCTCTTCCCGGGGAGACTTCCCGTTTGGGGTGCCTTGCCCATGATTTTCAGCCTGCAACTGAACCCTTCTGAAGAAGTAAATCTGCCTTGCCAATCCACTTTTGAGTGTTTGTCTCATTCCTGTGAAACTGTTGACCAGCGTTTCTAACACAATTTTTCTTTTTAAATTACAGTTGACATGCAATATTATATTAGTTTCATGTGTACAACCCTGTGATTAGGCATTTATGTAAGTTATGCAGTGATCACCCCAATAAATCTGGTACCCATCTGACACCATATATAGTTATTACAATATTATTGACTATATTCCTTATGCTGTACTAATTTGTACTTCTAAATTCCTTCACTTTTTTCACCCGTCCCATCAACCCACCCTCCCCCATCTGGCAACCTTCAAAATGTTTTATATATCTATGATTCTTTTTCTGTCCTGCTTGTTTGTTTTGTTTTTAGTTTCCACATATAAGTTAAATCATCTGACATTTGTCATTTTCTGTCTGACTTATTGCAATCATTACAATACCCTCTAGTTAGGCCCATCCATGCTGCTACAGATGGCAAAATTTCATTTCTTTTTATGGCTGCATCATATTCCATTGTATATATGCCCCACTTCTTTATCCACTCATCTATTGATGGACACTTAAGTTGCTTCCATATCTTGGCTATCCTAATATATAAAAACTCAGGGTCCGTAATGACTGACCGGAGGCTCCACTAAACACCCCAAGTCAGTCCAGCAGTCAGTGCTGGGTTGCCGTGGCGACCCAGCACTGACTACCAAGGGGACTGCAGATAAGGCCCGCAGAGAGAGGCAGGGTCTGACCCGCAGCCTCTGTGGCAGCTGTTGATTAGCTGTTGCCTCTCTCTTTTTCTCTAGGCTTCGCCAGCAGCCAAGCCTCTGTTTCTCTCCAGGCCTCCACAGTGGGGGGCGTGGAGGGGGGCGCTGCTGATCAGCCCTGCCTCTCTGATCAGGCCCAGAGATAGGCCCGCAGACACTGACTGGCATAGAAACCAACCAATCAGAAACAAATCTGGGTGAACTGTGAGGATCCAATGGCTGCCTAGGAGGCGGAGATTTTGACACTGACTGGCATAGAACCCAACCAATTGGAACCAAAACGGCTGGCAGGGGAGGGCAGTTGGTGAGATCAGGCTGGCAGGAAAGAGCAGTTAGGGGTGATCAGGCAGGCAGAGGCAGTTAGGGGCGATTAGACCGGCAGGGGAGAGCAGTAGGGGGTGAGATCAGGCTGGCAGGGGAGGGCAGTTAGGGGCAATCAGGCAGGCAGGCAGAGAGGTTAGGGGTGATCAGGCAGGCAGAGGCAGTTAGGGATGATCAGGCAGGCAGGCAGGCAGGTGAGTGGTTAGGAGCCAGCGGTCCCAGATTTCGAGAAGGATGTCCAACTGCCAGTTTAACTGGCAGTCGGACATGCCCCAAGGGGTCCCCGATTGGAGAGGGTGCAGGCTGGGCTGAGGGAACCCCCCCTCCAAGCACTAATTTCGTGCACCGGGCCACTAGTTGTAAATAATGCTGCAATGAACATATGAATGCACATGTCTTTTCAATTTAGTGTTTTATTTTATTATTTATTTATTTAGTCTCAAAATATTTAATTTTGTTTTGAAAAGGTTACATTCCCAGCTTCCCTCCCTGCCACATCACTCCAGCTCACCAGCAGTGACACACTCACACCCACACACGTACCTAAGGCCAACAGGCTGTGTCTGCTTCTGCCATTGCCAGTTGGGAAGAGGGAATTTTGATTTACTGTTTTAGATTTCTTAGGATTAATACTCATGATGGGGATGTTGGTACACTTAAAGTTGTTCCTATCTCTTTGTTGAAGTTCTCACTCAGGTCCTCTATTCTTCCCCTAAATTCATTGTGCATCCTTTTAACCAACAGTTTAAACTCTGCATCTAATAGATTATTTGCCTCCTTTTTGTTTAATTCTTTTTCTGGAGTTTTGTCCTGTTCTTTCATTTGGGATAAGTTTCTTTATCTTCTTATTTTATCTGCCTCCCTGTGTTTGGTCCCATGTATTAGATAGAGCTGCTATATCTCCCAGATTTGGTAGAATCGCCTTATATAGTAGGTTTCCTGTAGGGCCCAATGGCACAGCCTTCCCAGTTACCCAAGTTGGGTACTCAAAGTATGCCCCCATGTGGGCTGTGTGCACCCTCCTATTGTAGTTAAGCCTTGATTGCTTTTGGCACCTCAATGGGAGGGATTTATCCAGGCTGATTGGCTGCAAGGACTGGCCATGACCACCATGAAGCATTTGCTGACCCCAAGGAGCATAACTCCCTTAAGAGGGACTCAGGTAGCCCTGACCAGTTTGGCTCAGTGGATAGAGTGTTGGCCTGTGGACTGAAGGGTCCCAGGTTTGATTCCAGTCAAGGGCATGTACCTTGGTTGCAGGCACATCTCCAATAGGGGGTGTGCAGGAGGCAACTGATCGATGTTTCTCTCTCATCGATGTTTCTAACTCTCTATCCCTCTCCCTTCCTCTCTGTAAAAAATCAATAAAATATACTTAAAAAAAAAAAGAGGGGCTCAGGTACCTGCTAAGTCCACCTCTGAGTGTGTCACTCATGGAGGTGGTGGGTGATGCTTTGGCATGGTCTGAAGCCATTTACCAGGTGTGCTGGCATTGGGGCTTCCTGGGAGGCGCAGGCCAAGGTCAGCTGTCACTTGTGGCCTGCCTGGGGCCACCAAGCATGAGCTACAAAGCGATCTGCAGATGCCTGCTACTTGTGCCAGGCTTGGGGCCACTTAGCAAGAAGAACACTGTATGCAGGAGCCAGATGCCAGTTGATTGAGAGGTTTTAGGAAAGTTGGCAGCTTGAGCCGACAGGCTGTTTGTATGGAAAAACCACTGGAAACAGGTTGGATAGGCCTGTAAGCTGGGTGGGTGGAAGTCTCAGGGTGGGGCAAAGTGTGTTAGCCAGGTTGATAAAGACATATTGGTCAGATTGGTGTCTACCTGCTAACTCCAGGGATAGGGGAGGGCTTAGGAAGGGAACAACCTCTGCTAGCACACCTTGGAGAAAGCTGCCCCTCCAGCTCTCATTCTGATGCTAAGCAATTTAATTCTTCCCTGTATGTCCCTGGCACCTTTCAAGCTGCTGCCCCAGCACTGGAGGTCAGAGTGAGTGATTTCAAGTAAGTTCATGTGTGGACTCTTTAAGAGGAACACCTGGGACTCCAGCAGCCCTTTGTTTCACTCATCCACAATCCCCACTGGTTTTCACAGTCCGAAGTTATGGGGACTTCTCTTCCCAGCACTGGAACCCTGGTCTAGGGCAGGGGTCCTCAAACTTTTTAAACAGGAGGCCAGTTCACTGTCCCTCAGACTGTAGGAGGGCCGGACTATAGTTTAAAAAAAAACTATGAACAAATTCCTATGCACACTGCACATATCTTATTTTGAAGTAAAAACAACAAAACGGGAACAAATACAATATTTGTATTTGCATGTGGCCCGTGGGCCATAGTTTGAGGACCTCTGGTCTAGGGGGTAAGGTATGGGGCTGGGACCAATCACTCCTCAGGGGGAACCTCCACTGCCGAGATATTCCTCCCAATTTTTAACCATTACATGTGGGTGTGGGACCAGCCTGTTCCATGTCTCTGACAATCCTACCAGGCTCAAGATGGCTTCTTCTTTATATCCTTATTTATAGGAATTCTGTTCAGTTAGATTTCAGGTGGTTCTCAATAATGGTTGTTCTGTAGTTAAGTTATAATTTTGATATGGTTGTGGGAGGTTCCAAGTATTGTGTTTACCTACAATTTTTCTTTTTTTGGTTAATCTTCACTCAAGGATATTTTTCCCATTGATTTTTTAAAATATATATATGTGTGTGTGTGTGTGTGTGTGTGTGTATTTAAATATATATATTTTATTGATTTTTTACAGAGAGGAAGGGAGAGGGATAGAGAGTTAGAAACATCGATGAGAGAGAAACATCGATCAGCTGCCTCCTGCACACCCCTTACTGGAGATGTGCCCACAACTAAGGTACATGCCCTTGACTGGAATAGAACCTGGGACCCTTCAGTCTGCCGGCTGATGCTCTATCCACTGACCCAAACCAGTTAGGGCTTAAAATATCTTTTTTATTGCTTTCAGAGAGGAAGGGAAAGGAGGAGAGAGGTAGAAACATCAATGATGAGAGAGAATCATCTATCGGGAG